TAAAAATATTTGAAATAAGAGCTTGTTGTTAGAGTAAACATTATAAAAAACTTAATAGTTTAAATATGTTTTTGGATAATTCCCTTGCAAAAGCCTAATAAAGATTAAGAATATTATAAATTCTTCTTTTTACCCAGCTTGATAAAAAAATAGCCGATTTTGTATGTCAATGAATGCCTTCTAAAAGCAGAACCGGTGTTTTCAGAAAAACAGCAGAGTAAATTTTTTTGACAAAGGGCGATGCATAAATTTCATCGTAGAATATAATAGTTCTATATATTATATGATATATCACAAACAATACGTTTATTAGAAAATAATATAATCATTTTTGACCTATAATATATTTTATATTTGTAGTTTTTTTAATTTGGGAGCATCATAATTAATAATAATTGACACTTAATATTTTCCAATATTATTAAGTCACAACATTTGAAAGATTCTAAATTAAAACGTCGAGTTCATGAAAACTATAATGGAACTTTAGTCTTACTTTCATTTTATAATTATTTAAAAAGTGTCTGAAAATTTTCCTTTAATGTTTCGTTAACCATTTTTATCATCAAGGTATGATGTTCAGGACAATATATAATATGAAAAAACATTTTTCCTGCATTTAAATATTTTTTTTCGAAAAACTGGCCATCATTTAACCGAAACCACAGAAAGTTCAGGCTCCGACGAAAAGTTGAAAGCAGCGCATGAATACTAAACTTATGAATATGAGTGAAACGCATTTTTTATTATGCTTTTATATTTTACGGTATTTCCAAGTCAATAAAATTATAGTCCATTTAAATAAAACTAAAAATAATCTTTGACTTTTTTGTCCCTCTTTTTAACTGAGATTTTACAAAAAAATCACGAAATATGATAAAACAAAAAATGTAAAAAGCACTTTTAATTTATTTAATTGATTGTCATCATCTCAAACCTTTATAAAATTAACAATAAGTAATTTTATAAGCCTATTAGACGGTTTCGGCAATAAATATTTATTTTAGAACACTCAATTGAGGTACACAATAGATTAAATTCAAAGGAAATAATGACTTCCCTCTAAAAGTCTTTGTTCTCATAATAACGACGACAATTTCAATAATAGAAATTGATATTACAATTTTATACAAGATCTTGAAATGTTAATTTTATACCATAAAATTTCAAATATCCATTATCAGACCTTTATGTACTTAATGATCTGATTAAATTTAATATCTGACATGATATACGATGCTTCGAGTAGCGAATTTGTTCAACATATAAATTCTTCAATCATATAAATAAATACATCTTGAGAAATATAAAGTTTGGTTACGATTATTAATAGACATATCTTAAATATTTATTTGGATAATTCAAGACTTCCAGAACAGTTCAAATGCTTTATTGAAAAACATTTGTACGTATAATAAAGAAATATTAAAATTATGAAAAATAATTTGTAGATAATATCCGATGATTTGTTTAAACTAAGTTTAAAGTTTATGAAAATTAATTTATGTCCTATGTATTATTAGATTGTAAGTTTATTTGGAACATAAACAGAGAAAATATTGAAATCCTATAAAAATTTTTTGGTATTAAATTAGTTTCGTAATTTTTTGTATCTATTTTACAAAAATAAACATATTGAATAATATTTATTATTAATTATATTTTTTGTAATTTTATTTTAGTGTCTGAAAATTTTTATGAACGTATATTTTTATCAAATCTGTTTATTGTGAAATTAGATTTTTAATACCAATAACAATTATATGTTTTATTGTTATATAATTGCTTTGTTAGTCGATGAAAGCTTAGAAATTCCATTGTGATTTCATTTCCATCATTAGAGATACAAAAAGGTCTGAAACCGTAATAAGAGGCTTAAAATGTTGTGTCTTGCTTAGAACCCGACAATTAAGATAGATTTGGTCCGAAATTATATTTGCTATTATTGGTACGAGGGTAAAACAATCTTAGTAAATATGTAGTTTTTTGAAAAGTTCTTTGTGTTTATATTTTAGTTTACTTCTTCTTCCTCTTCCTGGCAATTTCCCAGCTTTCGCCAGGGTCTGCCTTACATGTTGTAAATCGTTGTTTAGTTTAGTTTACTTATTTAATTTTATATATTTTGTTTACTTATAAAAATTTAAGTAAAATTAAATGCCTCCGATAGGATTCAAACCTCCAACTCTCCAAAGATTCCCCTTTCAGTTTTAATTCCTAATTTCATCAATTATTTGTCGTGCTTTTAGTCCAGTTGGTAATTTAAACATCCAATAATTTTATCGTCATACCGAAACTGAGGTGCAAAGCTTATAATATCATTAGAATGTCGTTTTCGACTGCAAAGTAAGAAACATAAATTAGAATTTTCGTGAGAATTATGTAGCTGCAATCTATGTATTAGTGGCAGCTAATTCTTAACATTCCCAAACTATTATACTTATGAAATAAAACGAGAATTTCATATAAATTATGGTAATTATCATAGTATACTATGTATAAAGATAACTGTTAAATAAAATAATACTTTTTTGATAAAATCAATGCGCTTTTGTATATTAAATTCCTGTATTAGAATTTTTAAAATAAGTTAAATGGTCAAAATATATAAGAAGATTAAGTGGAGAACAAAAAATAAATTTCTTTATCAAAAACTTCCATTTCAACATTATTCATATTATTATATTAATTATTCATACATTTTCGCTTCATACATAAATACAAGTGATGCCATTTATTAAGCATCTTTTCGCCATCTCATTAAAAGTCAGATTATACGTAAATATATATTATGTTATTACAAATATGAAAACTTAAATTCACATAACATTATTTCTGAATCAAGCAAAATATGATATATATCATAAGCTGCCATTTGTTTTAGGAACTCTTTGAATCTTCAATTACGCTTACAGAAAGCTTCATTAGTATTATAAATATATCATAAAATTAAAGCATAATGCTTATTATCCACAGTAACTCATATGCTTAAAGCGAACGAAATACAACGAAAATAATTCATACACAGCCTTAATCTCTCCAATAAAATACATAAATCCTTACGAGGCACTGGATAAATAGAATTGTATAATATCTTGTGCAACCCTAAGATAGTAATTTGCAGTTCCTCTCAAGATAATACTGAATGCAGTGCATCTGTGCCTCGTCATTCGTTAATGGTGCCAAGATGATTACATTTCGATACGAAAACGAGGCTTCCGAGTTATATTGGAAACATTCATGTTGTTTAGTTTCTCAGTCACAATATAAATATATATATATTTAATACTATTTATGAAGATTATAATATCTTTATAAGAATGATAATGTGTTAATCAACTTTTATTATTATTGGTATTACACGAACTGATTTATACGATTAACTTTAATTAATTACGCCTCGAAATGAATTCATATGCATTTTATTATAAATAGTATTGCCGTAAATTTTATTTCATTTATTAAAAATATTTCTGTAACAATATCAAATACTTTTAATTTTTAATAACTTGAAATATACAATAAAACATTGAACAAATATGCGCACTCTGAATATAATGAAATTTCAAGAAACTGATTTAATGAAATGCGATGGAAAAAATGTGCCGCTTTTTGCATATTATTTTTCTCTTTTGCATTGAATTAATAATACTTTATAAATGCGACGCTAGTGTAACATAATTTTAATTATTTATGAATGGCATTCCGAGATACATGCATAAAAGGATTAAAGTTTGAATTTGTTGACCTGGAAGTATAATTATATTAATTAAACATTTCGCCATGAAAGATTAGAGTTATATTTTATATTTTAAAACATAAATAAAGATAAAATGCTAATAAATACTGGGCTACATACCTAAAATTACAGTCATAGTTAATTTATTTCAAAAGAGTTCTTAAATATTATCTCTAACTGAAACCATGTTTAACAGATCTCTTTTCATCTCATCAACCCTTAAACTATTAGCCTTTTAATCTATGTAAGTAATATATAACCGGCTCACATTACTTATAAAGAATGATAGACTAACCTCAAACCGCAAGTAATTACTAGAGATGGTTTATCCTGCCTCCATTCCCGTATCTATGTAACAAGCATTGTTTGAACCCTATTAAGAATTACCTGTTTCTGCTTATTTTTTCTGAAAACAGACTATATTTATTTCAATATAATGAAGTATAATTCATTATTGACGTTATGAATTTTATAGCTAATTTAGAATTGCGGTAGTGAGTACCGATAAATATCGTTTGATATAAAATCTTTTTATGTTATTTCCGTCTCGCAAAGGTTATGAAAATTGTTAATTAAAGTTTATTTTTAGAAAATTGTTTTTATATAGGTATAAATGAAATATTTTGAAACTTATATGTCATTCATATTCTTTATAATAAGAATAAATATTATTTAAAATTTTTAGCAACAATATTTCTATACATTATATTTAGAAGGTTCCGTATATATAAGGTTTTGGTGTAAGAACATAATAATATGATGGATCTCATTATATGTGATCTAAGCAATCGATTATGTTTTACATATTCTGATAAGTTATCACGTATTAAACAAAATTATGTATATTTTAAATCATTGCTTCATATTGTAAAACTAAATGTAAAAAAAAAAATCTTTTAATTAAAAATATTTACTTATGCACACATTTCTAGATATTTTATAAAGTTCAAAAGAATTTCTATCTTAATTTCTTGCAAATTTTTCCACACAGATTTTTAAATGTATTCAATCTGTTACTAATAACTAAAAGTTTTCAAGCGTATCATTCGTAGAAACACATAACATCGTAACTGTTCCACAAATATGAGAAAAATATTCTGAAAATGTCGGAATAATTAATAATTTATAAAATGGAAAACGTTTCAATGTTTCAAATAACCAATTTCTTGTTTCAGATAAAAAATGCAAAGAAAACGTCAAAAGAAACGACGAGAAAAACGCAGTGCAGTGAAATGAATTAAGGAATATGTGACTTACTGTAATGATGATTAAGTTTAAAATGGCATCTCGGATGTGCCGTGGCATTCCCAACGGATATATCTTGATGGTCGTTTTGTTTTTGTCGGGGCAAGCTGTAGTTTGTGACAGCCAGTGCCCAAAGTTCGCGGAAAGGCCTCTGGAAACGAGAGTTCAAGATGCTTCAATAGTTTTTAGGGCGGTGGTCGTTCAGGCACACTATCAGGTAATTCTTTGTAAACATTTTCTTCTTATACTTTAACTTTTATACAGACACAAACTTTCTATGAATCATTTTTCTAACTGCATTCTGTGTATTGTAAAATGCAACAGTGAAATAAAATTTTTGCATTAAATATTATTTCGCTTTTCAAAAACTTCTTAAAGAAATATTATATAGGTTGGCAACCAGAGGTTCAAGGAAAACATCAAACTTTCTTATATGTACATATATTACAATAAGAATTACATATTAAAACTTATTACCTATACCTAAGATTACATATTTGCCCCGATGTTAGGATAACAATACCATTCCGTAGCTTGTGTGGTATCAGGAATCTTCTGATTCACACGGCTTGATGTTCGTTACACGGAGTCAGTAGCGTGACCCGTTATATGATATTTTAACTATATAACGATGTTGCCCCGGCGATGTTCATTTATTTTTTAATATGTGGCGTGCACGTAACAAACTCAATTACATAATTTATAAAGGATAATTAACTATCAAATGCGATTAAAAATGAAGTTAAGTACGATTAAAATGAATAACTAAGAAACTTTCAAAAACAGCATGTAATATCGTGCGACGATCTTGACATTTGCAGTATTGAGTGCCTTTCGTTTTTATTTCGAGGAACTGCAATAGTAACTTGTGAGTTTCAAACATTTTTCTTTGAAATTCAATGTTTTATGGTTGCCAAGAACAACTAAACCCGAATCAGCTATTATTCTAACGAAACACAAACACTTTTTACCAGCTTCAAGTCTCGTAGCAAATGTTTCTAGTTTAGACCGTTAAAGAATTATAAGATTCTTATTAGTAGTCTTCAAATCTTAATAAGTTTCTCATCCTCAGAGGAAACTGTTATTCAAGTTTTACAAATGGTAATTTTTTAAAAACTAAATTTAGATATAGAGTACTGAAAAGAAAAAAGTTTTTTTTTGCAGTGATCATACAGGATTAGCAATGAACATAATTTTTAAGCGGAATTGGCTATCGATGATATAGAACTGTCATTCTGATCTTCTAAGTGAGAGATGTAGTAATTGAACTAAACAACATTTGCGTTAACAACATAATTGATAGAAATACGTACAGATTGTCATATAGGCGCTTCACAGATAGACGTTTTATCATTTCTTTAATTATTGTAGCAATGGGAGCAGTACAGTAAAACCAAACACTCCCTTCTTCCCAATTCAGAATTTACCTAGACGTCATAGCGAATGGATCTCTCTTGCATTATTAAAATTCTCTCAGTTCTAAAAATAAAACATCATATTACAGAGCTTAAATAAGGTAACATTAATATGCTTTATATTTATTTTAAGTGACATGCCAGATGTAGAATGAATCCACTAACCGATTCAAGATACGAATTGAACGGTGCCATTTAGTAATTGAACTGATTGCCTGCAATTGTGAATCAAAACAGAATTAAATGATTTCATGTAAGACTAATGTAAACAGTTGTCCAATCCCACATAAAGTGATTTCGTATGATCGTTTATTGCGGTTACAGACCGCATTTACGTGATATTTATTCTACGTCTGTGTTCATAGATTAAAAAAATGTGTAATTGAAATTGGAAATATTTCAATTAAAATTAGATAGATTTCTATAAGTACGATAAAAATTATTTCTTCTCAAATGAATCTTTACAGTACAACAGAAACTAACACTTCAATAACGCTACCGACAGAAAAACAAATTTACCTTACACATTAAAAAGACAATGTGAATAACAGTGCTTACAGATTCACCTATGAAAAGTACGTTATAATTTCACTTAAATTTATAAAGTATAAAATTTCTATTGAGTCTACTTTCAAGTATACAGTATTAAAAAAAACATCTTTTTAATCAAACTTAAACTTTATATTAAACATTGGCCACATGAAACGTTTTTCAATATCTCATTTCTGCTTGAATAAAACTTATTTAAAGGCAAAGCTTTAGTTAAGAAATCACCTAGCTGAAGAGAACTTACAACATATTTAATATTATGAAGTTACTTTGGAACATTGTCTTTAATAAAATAATGTCTGGCATGTGTATGTGGTTGTTACTTTGAGGACAACAGGGTTATTTTTCAAGTTAATTTGTCTCTAGTTATAAAAATTTAAAGTAATTAAGTCTTATGTTAATCTAAGCACTTAATTTTTGTGGACCTTCTTGCACACAGTTTTGCTTTGTATTGTACTATTTGTTTTTCTTTATATTTATTTATTGTGAACCCCACTTTCAAGACACAGGTTTCTTCTATGCTTGATCAGTCAATATTTAAGTATGACTTTCTTCATGTGACTGAAACTCTCCTTTTGATGTAACCAGTGCTGTCTGGCTCCTGGGTCTATTAGACGAGAATTGAGGTTCTAAATTATTTGATTTCCTTAATCGAGTGACTGGTATGTTTGTCTAATTGAAGTTTTTGTTGATGGTTAGTTACTTAGAGTCTTAGTCATTTATACTATTTCACTGATTTTCACACGTATTTCCTTGAGCTGCTTTGTTAAAATGTGTTCTACTCTGGATACGTTTTGTGATTTCATACCACTGGTATTATATAAAGTTTGATAAAATCGTTCATGAATGAATATTGTGTTATATTCTCTTTTCGAGTTCATAGATGATTTCTAATTTCGTCATAACTTCTTTAGCATTCTCGCAGTTTTATATTAAAGAAATACAGTTCAAATCCTAGAATGAAGTAGAATAAGTATTGCCATCCTATCATCTTCATCCCATTGCACTTGCGACCTGGTAGTGCTAGTCTTGATTTGAAATATTCTCTCGTTTAATTCTAAATGAGCGTTTAATTTGGTTTTCCCGCTGTTTGAAATATCGTCTATCAAATTTTCATCGCGTTCCTAGCCTCCATTGTGGGTTCGGTATTACAGTTGCAATCTTGCTCTCAAGTCGAATTTTTTATTGAAATATTTAATTATTATGTGTTTCGAACCATAAACAATGAAAATTAGGTAGTACATAGGTACTTTAATTCCAAATTTAACACTATAAAATATATTTGGTTTTAAGTGATAATACACGAGAAGGCAACACAACAACACCACCATCAGCAGAAAAACTTAAACTTTACTTGCTCTTTTATCAAGAGAATATCAATAATAACTTTTGCAAAGATACTTATAAGTTAATAAATAAATTAATTTATTCAACAATTAAGTTACAAAACACAAATGTTTGATAAAGTGATAAAAATACTAGCCTTGTTTATTAGAAATACGAATATCAAATCTAAATACCGATATAAAAGTTTGCATCAGTTACAACTGAGCCCACATTTCTGTTTAGAATAGTGAAGATTTTTGAAGAAAATAGTTGAAGTATAAATACCAACGTAGAACCAGAATAGAGTTATCAAGGCACCTGTGTACGAGTATGATGTATGTGCCAGCTATCGTTCAATCAACTGTTCTGAAGGGAATTTAATGACCCGAAACATGTCAATCCTGTATATATAGTGATTTTAGAAGTAAACTTTTACTTAAAATATTAAAAAAAAAACTTTTTTCATACTTTTCTGCCTATAAACTTTTGAACACAATTACTGGAAAATAACCAAAACTTCGGATTAAAATCAAAATAAGAAGAATAATTTTGAATAAATATTACTTGAAAATGTATTTATCTATAAATAAAACTTCCATGAATATAAATGAACTAAAATAATCATGAACGATTTAGATTTAAAAATACGATACTTAACGTAAAAGCCCTAGTAAAAATTGTTTCAATATGTAAGCAATATCGGTATGCCGTCCCACCCTATTTAATTACCTCAGCGTTGAAATAATTTGTAATATTCATAACAGACTCGATGACTCTTTTAAGGTTTCAATTATTTAATGAACATACAAAGTACTCAAAATAATAAAACAAATGTATGATTTAATTCTGTTACACTATTACGTATAAAAGTCTTTCAAAAATTTCTAATTATTTAAATCTTTGGAAATAAATTTTAAAATCTTAAAAGGCTTCTTTTTTGTGGTCCTACATTAATAACAAGCCGGGAAACCGTTACCTTTCATTTGTTGGTAAAGCTCCGTCACACAATTTATAGCTCTCTTCCTTCTTTAACTTTAACGATTAATATTTATCAAATATTTTGGTAACTATCAAAAATATGGCACACACATAATAAATATGTATACAGTATTTTTTTATTAAGTCTACTCTGAAATTACAGCTTCAATTAATATAGATAATATGTTGTTAATGTAAAATTATGGCAAATTATTAATAAAATTTTATAAGAAAATACTTGATAGATTGAGATATTTATAAACGAAGACTTATATAGCGGGATCTTAAAATAAATTGAGAAAATATGTGAAGCTGGGAGCGGTGATAAAGAAGGGGTTTCAGGATGTTTTATGAGAAGGTTCATTGTGCTATCCAAGCCGGTATAATATCGTTGCGATGTAATAGTAAAAGTTCATAAATATTTTTGTTCATTCAAGTTGTCCCAGGGCTCCATTTCATTAATAACTGAGCGGCACAATCTTGGATCAAAAGGAAATGACATCAACCACAGACTTGAATATTTTCAAAGTGCATTATTGCCATTTTTACTATAAACGCTTTACATATAGAAAAGTAATATATCAATTATGGAGAAATATATATAATATAATTTCAATATTAATACACTCTACTTATACGAGTATTAATCAGATGAAATCAACAATGTATGAAATTAAAATTTTGATGAAAAATATGAAACACGCTACGAAAAATTCACTGACTAATTTCGAGATTCAAATCTGCTACGTGTTAATGTATTTCTCATTCTATATTTTCTACTTGAAGTTTAATTTTAGTATTAAGCTGTTTATAATCTTAATGTAAAACAAATTTAAAGAATAAGAAAACAAAATAAAATCTGAATTATTATAGAAATCAACAAAATTTAAGTATAAAACTCAGTAGCGAAAATGCTAAAAAATATACATAATTACGTATATAAATATTGTTTCCATGTATACTTGAGTGTAATATATTGAAATAAATCTTTACTTGAACACATTTTCCTGAGGAACAACTTATTTTTTTTTATTTTAAACATTTATATTACAAGTCCAAATTTAATAGCTCAAAACAAATATAATATTATGATTTTAACATCTGTAAAACCAGAAATAATTTAATAATTACATTATTTTCCGTAATAATTTCCTCAATAAAGCCTACGTTACTGCAAATAAGATGATCCTGATTAAAATAAATCTGAAACCGTTTAATAGTAAACAATTTTGTTGTTAATCAGTGTCAGTATAAAAAATCATTGTACATATTTATTCAAATTAGTATAAATACGAATCTATTAATAGAAAATTATATGATTTCTGTAATTAGACTGAGAATAATAATTTCAATGCTTTCATTATGATTTGCATTATAAAAATGTATATGAGAACGCAGCCACTGGTCAATAAAAATAGAGGATTAATTTTCTTGTTCCTCGTTGTAATTCTGTGACCTGAAAATTAAGTCGAAGCGTCGCAAAAATATAAATTTAGTTTTTTATTCACAATTATATAGATCGTGTTTCATCGAACGTAAAATGAAAACCTGAAACAATCGATGTATATTTTATTAGTGAATCAAATTATGTTAATGGCAGCAATTTTGATTAACAGTGTCTTAATAAAGACGTGCCTTAGTTATTTTATTAATTATTTTAATTAAGGCGACGTTAATTACTTCCTTGTTGGATAGAGTAATTTAATAATTATTTTCATAAACTTCCATACTTAACGATGCTTTATTTAAAATGCTAACGTTCTAATTGCCTTGTTTGGCGGCACGTAACCTCATTACATTTCGGCTTCTGCTTATTTAAAACGTCAGTGCTGTTGTGGAGTACTTTATATTTCTGTTTAAGTGTCTGCCACAATAGTGTAATTAAAATTATAAACATTATTTATAGATAAATTTGCAATCTGTATTATGTTATATTGGGTAATACGTCGAATTTACTGATTGCTTAGATTTTTTACTAATTGCGTTTAAACTTCAGTTTAAGTAGGTTATTTCTTCGAGTTTTCTTTGGGAATCTTATTTTTAGCATAATAAAGATTTATTTAGATAGTCTTCTAGGTTACCTTAGAAATATGAACAAATAAATTCCACTATAGGTTCATGAATTAAGAAATGTAGTAACATTGAAAAACCCTTAATCCAATTATGTAACATATTGTATCTACATGCAAATTTTATTATAGATTTCAGTCCAGCAAATTATAACTCAGGTAAACCTTAGAATAGGATTCGAACTATTATTTATAAATAAAATTCTCCTTTGACTATTGTTCTTCATGTCTTATGTTTTATACTGTACTTAAAACTACGTTAGTTATTCCAACATAGTTTAATGCCCACCATAACTATCGTTTAGGCATGTGACCTGAGGTTTACCTGAAGATGAGAGAATATTATGAAGAATGTTTTCAGGTATCCAGGATAATCATGACGGGCCAAGATCAGGGAATTTTTTATGAAACTCGTTTCATTTTACCCTTAGTAAATCTCATAGATCATTTAAGCATAGTCAACAATTTTATTTTGAGAATTTTGCATCAAATCTGGCTAAAGACAATGAATGAAACATTAATAACATCTTGAAGTGAAGGGATAAGGCCCGTTATTTTGATGTCATGATATCTAATGATTTAAATTCGAGAATAAATTGAATATTTGTTCCAAACAGGCTTTCTAAGTATTCTCTAATAGCTGCTGTCAAAATTGTGAAAAATGTTACACTTTTTTTGTAGCTCGATCACCGAATTTAAACTGCACACATTATTATTTTCTTATAAAACGTGATATACTGTGTTTGGTATTAAATAAATTAATTCAATTTTCTAAACTTCCAGTAAAAGAATGGTCAATATAGGTAATAGGTATGTATTAATATCAAAAATTGCGTACGTTGTATTTTCAATCTAAAAAAAAGCTACAACGATGTATTTTATGACAAGAAATTAATAGGTGACAATTTATCTTAGTATTAGATGTTATAAAAAGTTTTTATTGCAAAGAAATTTTTCTCGCCATCAACTTTTGAAACTTCATACTATTACTCACAAATGCAAGATCAATGGAAAAAAATCGGTAAACTTTTATTTCTTAGAACAAATTCAATTAAGAAAAACAGGACTAAAATAAAAGGTTCATTGCTAAAGTTTTACAAATTAAGATTGAGCAGTATGCTTTTATTTTACTTCATGGATACGGAACGGATTTTTACGTTAGTACTTAAAAAAAGAAAATTCGAAAATAAAAACTAGTTTGATCGTTTTTTATATATTTTGTAGATTGTATTGAAAAATGTATTGTATTTCTTGAAGTTTCAACAAAGAATAAGTACCTTCATAGTATTTGCAAGAAAAACTAGTTAACTTGTCGTCGAGAATCTATGGTTTTTGGTCTCTTGTTGAAAATTTAAATGTTCTGTATCGATAAGTTTCTGCACTAGATTGTACTATCTTTGCTTACATTGAATTCAGCTCTGGGCGAAAACAAAAGAACTTCTACAATGTAGCCCGCATTATTTGCCCTCTAAGAAACACAAAATATGTATATAACGATGAAATGCAAAGAGATTAATACTCAGAAATCAGAGGATATAAATTTATGAAAATTTCATAAGTGTTATAGAAATCATTTTTCAAAATTGAGAGAATGAATATTAATAGTATATCTATGAAATCTTACATATTAGATGAATATTTTTAAACATCTATATATTTGAGACCGTCCAAATGTCACCAAGTGCTTACCCATGTCAGAATATAGCCACCGAAAAGAGAAGGGAACAACAATTTTCAGACTTATTAAAACCACTAAAGGTATATTTTTCCTTAAATATATTTTTCCTCGAGACATACTTTTTCCGTCGCTCTATTATATAGACGCGGCAGCGGAAAACTATTTCTCGGTTGTTACAATAAAAAAGTTATTCTAAGCCGTAATATACTGTAAACGGACGTGACTTGAGATTATATAAGCAACTAATATTTGTAGTTTTTGGAATGTTCACTTCAAACTTAGGAAACACATTTTTCTCCAAATATCAAACTATGTCGAAAAGAATTGATGAGAGACATATCTACTTCTACATAACTTGAATAGGTAATTTATAACATAATGAATATCAGTGCTACAATTATTATTTCAATAGTTTCGGTTACCCCAATAATATTTAATAGACAAGCTCGATTCAGCATTCCCCTTTCTTGATTCATCTCTGTTGTACACTGAGAATAACCTGAATTAATCTGGAACTAATTGATGGAAGTTATACTTGCTATTCTGAAGCTTAAACATTGTTCTTATAAATAGACGTTATAGGTTCGATTCTGTTAATTGTTAAGACAAGTAACATTCAAGTGTTTATGATGATGTTCAAATTAATTGTCTTTTATTTCTTGTATAGTATTAAATTACTCTGTTTAATTATAATTACCAAGAATACAATGACTAGTTAGTTATCAAACAAAAAGTTTTAATTTATTATGATGTCAGATTATTATGTGTTTTTCTATGCAGTAATGTTTATTGAAGTTTCTCGGACTACCTAGTAACATTAAAAGCGACTTCTTTGTTATAACAATAATTCATTAAGAAAATTTAAAAACTAACTGTTACATATTTTATACTTTGACATATGTATCTCGCTACACTAAGGAGAAACACATTTGTAGATTAAAGAAACAATCAAAGGTTAAATGTTTAATATGAAAACTATTCATTGTTATTTTGTACGAAGATTTTCTTTATTTTGAAGAATTCTAAATAATTTAGGACGTGGAATCCTATTTTGGAACGAACGTTGTTAACCAATTTAAGCTATAGCATATCTTAGACAGCAATTATTTTTCTTTCAAAATTAATATACATACAACAAATAAAATTTAAAATTATAAATAATCCTTTAAAGTCTTTTTTCTACCCTGTCAGAACTCATTATAAGATAATCACTCTTTGTTTCAGATAAAGACATTCGATTTGGCTTTAGTATCAATATACAGAGGTGGAGTTGAGTTGGCATCGATCAGCCAATACGCTGGATCACCCTACAATACGACAGATAGGTACCTACTACAATATGTTATATAGCACCACAGAATATAATAAACAAAACAATATATGTACTTATATAAATTATAAGTAATATTTTCGGATTACAATCTTTTGGTTACTTAGCAGCAACTGTGATCACGGACGGACAAGTCATCAGTTGGTCTTGTTATTTATACCCAACGATTTCTTAATATTTTGGCATACTGTTCTGGATTAAGAAACTACGGGTGTGTTTAGTTTTTAAAAATAATAAAATAGGGGAGTAATCCGAAAATATTAGTTTCATTTAAATTAATACTCGTGAAAGTCTCAGATATCTTTTAGTATTATTCTCAATTTAATGTCCATATTTGTTGAATATTTGTGAGTTATATTCTACGATGAAGAAGGTCCTGTTCAAATTTAAGAAATCTAACTCACACAATAACTTATAATAACTGTTTTGATTAAATCGCGGGACTTAACTATTTCTCAAAGTTAACGGCTTAAGTCGTGTGAAGTACGCACGGAAAGGTTTGAAGGAAGCTTAACATAACTTCAAGAATACGATACAAGTCAAAAACAACGAGCGATTTGTATTGTAAAATTTTGTATAGTTTCAAACAATAATTCCATTGAAAAATACCATCAAGCCTCGATGAATTTCAGGAAATAATAAAAATAATCACAAATAACTAAAATTATTTGTAAAAGATACATTAATCAGTAAGTATTCTTAAGTCCAATGAAATATAACTGCCGTAAAACAATTTGATATTATCTGAAACTATGTATTATTAAAACTCTCATTCGATCCACACTTTCAAACTCCGTAAGAAGCGAGTAAAAGATTAGTGTGGAACTCAATTAAACCAAGCAAGTTCGTGGTGAGATCGCGATCCGTGTAATTAAATTCCCAGCAAAAGTGCCGTGATTCGAATAGAGGTGCACCTTACCGCTTAGCGTTTACTTTAAATTAAATTTGTTACTTGCTAATGTTACCTTTGTCAGATAATATCCTTTATAAGCCGAACTTTCAGTTACTAATAAAATGTGTACTTGTTAATTAGCTAATGCGTTACTTTCAATGCATGTTAGAAATTGATGATAACGAATTATGTTTTTATTTAATTCTGTTCGATATTTATTAATAAAAATTATTATCAATTTAACATGATATTAAATTATATATTGAAAGGAAAGGATAGAATTACTCATATTAAGTAATTTACTATAACCTTCAAGGGTAACTGAAAGACGTCTTTTTAAATGGATAAGTTATTCTTAAATATTATACTAAGTTGAAAGTAACATCAAATATTCATTTTATACATATTATAAATTTAAAATAATTATTAAATGAATAAAAATTTTACTTAATTAAAAGAATATTAAAATGGTTTTAAATATTGATCGTTATTAATCTTAAACTGGATATGCCGACTAAAATCACGATGCAATATTAAATTTCTGTAGGTTTTTGTAAAATATAAAGAGAAAATATTTTTTTTAGAAATATAAAATGCGGTCAGCGAAATTGCAGTTATTTGTCACCATGACCGCTTGCAAGTCGAGATAAATAGCTTCATTGTATTGTGATAAAGTTAGCATTTCAGATTTTGCAGCACCACATCCTTTTTGTTATTCGCATCGATAAACTGCATTTTAATTTAAAACCTTAAATAAAATACGTTTTTGTTGTGCCGTTTTTTAAATGATTTATGAATTTTAATAAACAAAATCTTGGAAATAAAAAAGAAATATTTTTTAGTCACCCAAAATATATATAAACTTGATTTATTCATGGAAACCTGTTACCAATTTGCTCGTTTCTTTGAAATTGCGTTGTTAATTTCCAGGACCAAATAATTTAGACATTTAATCTTAAAAAAGTAAATATGTTCGAGTGTGAAATAATATTTAGGTAGATTTAAAAATTTTAATGGAAACACTATATTTAAATGGCAATAATTATATATTTATTAAACAAAACAATTCCAGCTTTTTTATAAGAACACAGTGTATCTTAAAAAAATATCTTAAGAAATAAAATTTTCAATAATTAAGTATGTAGTATCTTTTAGAATACATTTATTTTCTCTTTAGGCAGGTAAATCTCAAAATCAATAATCAATTACGTGATTGCTTTAACTGGAGCATGGTCCAACAAAGCGAGCTTGTGGTTTTCGCTCGTGTCAGTGAACCGGCTGTAGACTTGGAAACAACACCACCTGATGGGCCCTGGCTTGAAGCTACTGCAGCAGCTGTTCCTTGGAGCTTGGGAGTCGATATAGCGATATGGAATGCTGTCGGTATGGTCTTAATATCCAATTTTTGTTAAACCAATAATACTGAAATTAATTTGAGTAAAAGTCCTAGAAACAAAGAAGCTATTTACTTCCTTAAAGACAATAATCGTAATGTCTTGTGCATATTTTTATTCCAAAGTTACGATAACATCTTTGATCTACTATAAAAATGATAAACATTTTGAATGATCTAATACAAATAGTAATATTTTAGGCTGGGCTGGCTGGGGGGAGTGGGGTGTATGTAGCAAAACTTGTGGTGGAGGAAGACAAACCAGAAGAAGATACTGCTCAAGAAACTTTTGTGAAGGTTACGGCGAACAGGGAAGATCATGTAATTCCTTCAAATGTGATGGTGAGTACATAATTTATACTAAATCTTTTGATTAAATCAACAAAATTGTTATTTTATTAGAAGCAATATTTGTAAATCTATTTTACCATGAAATAAGTAACATATAAAATTAGTTCGAAAGTACCAGAATAACGTAGTAACACATCTCCACTTAACTTTTACGACCATACGAACAGCAATTTAGTACGTACTAAAGCAATAAACAATTCTCCCAAACTTTATCCTGAATATTGGAGTATGTAGTTAAAATTTGTAATACTGATTCTAACTTTGAATGCAGGTACAATAAATCCTCTGGCTCCAGACGCCAGGCGAAACTTTCACCCAGCACAAGCCAGATGGGGCCTAGTACCAGATAGACCTCATGCCTTTAGTCTGAAACCCAACTCTTATATCTGGATAGCGTCTTCCGAACTTTTCGCTCCAGGCAAGACCTTCCCCAGAGAATTTACACTATTCATTTCTTTAAGATTAAGACCTGAGGTAAGTCTATGCATTTTTTGTCTTAATTTTTTTCTCATAAAATAAATTTTCAAAAAAGAAAACTATGAGATTGCAATCAAAATTAACATATTCAGTGAATTTAAATTTATTCTTTGAGTACTATGTTTTAAATCAAATTTTTATATTTTTTAACGTTAATTACTAAAACATGCTTTAATTACAACACGCGTATATCTTTTTTGGGCGCTAAAAATCTGGTCACCTTGTTGACCCGTTATAAAATAAATTTAAGTAATACTGTAAAACTGTTAACGAGTTTTGATATTAAGTTAGTATGAAATTTTTACGGTTCGAAATAAATTTATTATAGTTGAACAAAAATTATGTTTCGTAATAAACTAGAAGAATATGTTCTGTATGTATTGAAGTATTGAAAACCAGATCAATATTCGTAAATTTCATGTAAGCTTAATAAACATAAATGGTATTATATAAAGTATTATATTTAATAACTTTCGCGTAATTAAGCTATTAAAAAGATTATGAAATATGAAACGTTAATCGAAAACCTTCAAGGCTTAGAGCAATAACAGTTATATATTGCTTTCAGAGTGGTGGTTACGGACAAGGAACATTATTTTCAGTTCGTTCAAGACGTAAAACTGGTTCATTTTTGTCCCTGGAACTAGCCGGGCGAGGCGCAGCTAGATTGGTTCATTCAGGTGCTGGAACTTCCCGGTCTATATACCTTGCTGTCCCACTTTATGACTTTAGGTGGCATCACATCGCTATAAGGTGAAACTCATTTTGGCAATATATGTATATTACTTTTAAAATATTTGATTAAAACTACCTTAATTAAAGTTTTTTAATTATAGTTGAAGTTAGTATAGCTCTACTATATTATTAATATTATTTTTTTGGTGTTTTCATCGGAGTAATATAATTATAATTTTATAATTTTTTTGTATATTTCATTTCTTTGTTTTCGTTTTTAATATTATTGGGGTAAATGCCACTGAAGGGTATTTCGAGTCTACAACTAAGAATTTTATTGTTTCAAAATCTGTATAACATTTATATATACACTCAAATTTAAATTGCCACTTGAACATTAATAAATCGTCAAATTACAAATTTCTAAATCACTATATTATCACTATGCAAGAATGTTTAAACGGTCATAAACATGACATGGTTTTCATTCATTGGTTACTCAGAATTAATGACGGAAAATAAATTCATAGTTGAGGGCTACTTTGTTCGTATTATCCCTTTAAACGTAGATATTCTTTTGATAAATATATTACGGAGACGTATAATTTTGCTTCTATACGTGTATTTACAATGATAAACATACAGAATGTATATAAAAAAAACATTTAACCCCAGTATTTAAAGTACTGAAATGCGAAATAACATTAAAAAATTTCATATATCGCTTTTATTATAATATAATTAAGATACTATTTATGAATACACTAATATGCCAAAGGGCTGTTAACAATATTATGTTTTATTTATATAAGATGTAAGTAATTTTATCTGATTTCCATTTAGTGTCCATGACGACAACACTGTAAGAGTGTATGTGGATTGTCGATGGCTGAGGACTGATGTACTCGAAAAGGACGCTTTAGATACACCAAGGGACGCTGATCTCATTATAGGCTATCTCTTCTCAGTAAGTAGATGTTTTATTTAATATACGCCAGCCATGCATGAAAAAGGAAAGCCAATATTTACACAGGTTCAGTAATTTTATCGAGAAATTCGTTCGGTGTTTTTTCCATTCAATCATTTGTATTTTTTAGTTTTGATGTAGTTTATTTGATGTTTCAATTATATGGACGTTTGTAAAGTGTATTTGAAATACATTGAATAGTATATGCTACGTAAATAAACTACGCGAGACCGTAAAATCCAATATTGTAGTAAAATTATTTATGGTAACAAAAATTTTACAACATTTCGTTCATTTATACAAGATTTTTCAATTATTACTATGTTGTTAATGATTATATATTACGTAATTTAGTGTATAAAAAACATCATGATAAAAACTTTAACTCCGCTTCGATATATAAAACTTATTAAGATAAAAAAAAACGACAAACAGATTTCATACTATATATAAATTAGACAAATTGAACTGTTACTGGCTAGTCCTTTACAGATACGATTCCCATAACATCTGCTTTTATGACAGGGGGACTTGGAACAAATGGTGATTGTGCCGAAAGCCGGTCAAGCCCACAAGCAGTGCTCTAGCCAAGTGACTGGCATAACACCATTCGTTACTCCACGCGACACATAATTCAGGTAACGAATTGAACGAATCCTTCTTTGAAGTACCAATCAAAATACAATGAAATACAGATTTTGAATTAAAAATAATTAGCTATATACGAAACATATGTATATCAGCTTGATTGATTCTTGTGAACTCAAAAAAATCATGTTTGAATTACTCTTTGTAATGAAAACAAAATATTGTTCATACTAGCATCATATTATTTTTATAAAAAATATATTGTAAGCTGACTCAATATTTTTTTTATTTTCAGATCTATTATTCTCTATAAATTGGATTAAAAACGCTTTATCCCAATACATTCAATTTGAGTGAATGAATGATAGCATGTTAGTTTTTATGTATGCGTAGGTGTATAATATAAAATGTATATAGTTCTTATAACTCAATATGATTAATTAAATATTTTATATTCAGATACTTCATACATTTCCTTATTTAACTTGTATAAAATTAGTCTCATGCTGACTTGTTTTAAACGATTGTATTATTTCAATTCTGCTTAATATTTTTACATAAATATCTGTACCATAGTTTAATTTTTAAAATTTATCAGAACATTATTCAATGTATGTTTATATTTACGTAATAATAAATCTTGTTAGATCCATTGAAAATGAATGTTTATTTATTAGAAATCTTTTTAAATATAGCTGGCCTAAAGTGTAAATAGAAAAAAATCAATTGAATTTGATATACAATATAATGTTTGCTTTTTAATTAAATGTTATTATTTAATCTTAAATGTATAAGTAGATATAGATGATAATATTTTGAGTTTATGATGTAAAAAAACGTTGTTTATATATCTCTTGGGAATTAATTAAAGAGAATTATGCTATATTATAGTTTTGTTTTAATTGATATAAAATTATTACAAAATATAAACTACGTAGTACATTCATATTTTATTCTATCGTTATTTTAAACGATGGAACCATTAAAAATAATTGTTAAAAATATATAACAAAATATGATTTAAAAAGCTAGAAACTTCAAGTAACTGCAACTTTCAAACAAGACTACATTTTAGCACGCCCCGTTAGATTTATTGGAAATACGCCAGTCGGAAATTTTATCAAAAAGCAAACGTAAGCATTAAAAACTTGAAATAATGTATGACATATAAATGTATACCTGGATATTATTTTTGTTACTCAAATAGTATTAACAGCAAAAATGAATCCAAATCTACTTCGTCTTTCAAATCAGTGGTTTTTGCAATTTAATATATTGTTTTATTTATAATTATATAGTTAGCTCACAATTAAAATGAAACTTTTAAATCTAAAATGTATACAAACTGTGTAAAACTATTTAAATGCATAATAAGTTGTATGTTAACATTGCATAATTGCGTTGTGGACTCGAACTGGGGCCAGAAAGTTTAATTAGCATTTAACAAGGAAACAGTTAAATATCCAACAACAATAAAATCTAGCTTGCTTTTTGCTATTTTGTACGAAACATTTATTTTAATACACATTTTTTTAATATAAAAATGAAAACAACTTCATATCGATATTTTTATCAGATTACGATGCATATTTGTAAACATTTTGGTTTAGTCATGGTATAAAAAAATATTGAACTAAAAATTGAAAGCTGATGCCAGAAAAGTTCTCTTTGAATGTTAAATGTGAAAAATATTTATTACGTATTCATAGCAATTAAACCTCAAAAAGTGGCAGAAACATCGTTGCAGTGGCAGAATCTGCATTTATCTTCATTCTTGTCATATACGCGACTAACATAAGTAAATTAATAACTGATTCATTTCGTTGCTACAACACTATAAGGTAGCAAGCTACTCTTAATACTTCTTTTTAAATTATTATTAACGAGAAACGTTTTATTTTCGATAATTTGTATCGTATTAAGTTGGTGTTATAAGTATATACAATTATATATTTGATTTCCAATAAATTCCTTCATTATATATCGTAATCTCGTCTCCATTTCTTACGCAGCTTAATTTATAAACATAAAGAGGCTTTTCAGTAAAAGGAATCGATAGACATATGCCTATACATACAACGTGAAGGAAGAAAATGAGTTTTAGTCCTTTTTAATCAAATATAAGTTACTCCACTTTTCCCTAGATATTAAACTACTACATTTTGTGGCATAAATAGAATCTTCAAAGAGTAGATTTTACAAAATCTTTTGTCAGGAATAAATCTCGACACAGGTGAATATTCGCTTCCATGTTTTACATTATATTTAGATGTATACCTAAGAGCAATATTGCAATAACAATAGCTGATTGTGTTCACTATTATGTAACATTTTATTATGTCGTATTTAGTAGAAAAAATACATGGCAGCAGTTTCCTAAATAGAAAAAAAAGTAGAAGAATCAGTAAGTATAGTCAGAAGTGTAAAATTGTCAACAATTTCAAATGTCTTATATATATAATAAGGATTTAGCATAAAATAAAATTCATAAAGTTAAAAAAATAGCAGAATAATAAATATGGAGCTTGCTAAAACTGAATGAAGAGGATGTCTTTGGATGAACTGGATGAATGCCAAGTGTTCAATCATTTCATTTCTGAATTGGCAAGAGCATGTTGGGAACGTATCCTAACTTTGTATAGACACGAGTAGTTTTGACTTTTCCAAATTACAGATCATATGAAATGCCCAAGCATATCATATTAAAACTACCCGTTGAAGACTTTTTCCTTTCAATTATTTAAACTTAACTATCAACAAAGAAAAATTGTTTGATAGTTTCATATGATTAATATAAGTCAGTGGTGGCCTAGTGGTTAAAAGGCTCGCCTGTCACGCACGAGGGCGCGAGTTCGATCTTGGCCCCGGACAAGTACCAATGTGATTTTTCCGAGTCATATGTACTTTCTAAGAGTATCTAGACATCACTGATTAATTCCGGTTCCCAAAGAGGGTTAATGTCAGGCAGGCGGCCGGTTATAAAAACAAATAGCCAAAACTATTCATAACATGTAAAGCAGAACCTGGATAAAACTGGGAAATTGCCAACTAGAAGAAGGGTTTCATATGATAATTTTTTTTCTGTCATAAACGTTTTGTCATGTTTTATGAAAAATACATGTTCACTTTGAAAGCTATCTAAAGCACATTACGCGGAATAGAGCGTCATTAGCCATCAGGCAACTTAATGATACCTCTAAATCAGACCGACTGGAACACTACATGACGTTAATAAAATTCGATTACCGATATATAAACTACTACTATAGTTAATTTTAATTGTTTGTTCTATGTCTATATAAAATAAATGACAGTAATAAAACAAAACTTCGTTAATTCAAATGATCGCACCCTTGACGGAAGGATAATAATTATTGTTGTTAACATTGGATACCCAAAAGTTGCAAATATTGTTTTAGGCAAAAAAATTATCTCTGTACCCGGTTCCCAGTAAAATATTTATTTCGCTATATAATTGATATGGATAAGTGAAAATTTTGAAATATGTCGTAAAAGAATTCATACTTTTATGTAATTAAAGTGTCATTTTAAAAAGTTAACAAATAGAAGATTGGGTTAATTTGAATAAAACTTACATTTCTTTGTCTCTTTTGAATCTTAGATTTACTGATGAAATAAGCGAAAGATACAATCTATAATAGTGATTTTATTATGCTTAAATGTAAACTCAGCTGCTGGGAACAAAAATTAGAAAAGTTTTGACAGGTAAGAAATAGCGTCATTGATTACAAAAAATATTGTTCTCCTCGCAAGTTTAATAAGTATGCGGTAAATATTTTAACTTCAGAGCTACAATTTAACACAATATAACATCTCATGAAGTATTTTTATTTAGGAACCTTAATTTTATTTGTGTTACTTATAAATATTGTTTATTACTACATTAGACATAACTGATTAATGCATTCCCAAAGAGGGTTGATGTCAGGCAGGCGGCCGGTCGTAAACACAAGTAACCAAAACTATTCACAACATGTAAGGCAGACCCTAGCTAAATCTGGGAAATTGCCAGGTAGAAGAAGAAGAATACATTCTAGAAATTTCTTTTTATTGAAACAACGTATATTTCAATTTCAAATTTAGCTTCGAATGAAAATATTTGCCGGTGCATTTATAATAAAGAATAAAAATGTAACTAGGATTTCGTGATAAATTGGTGAATCTTATACAATTCTTGATCGAATAGTTCCAAAAAGACTAACTTACTCCCATAAAATTTCATAGTGGACCTGTGCTTTGTAGAGACAAATCAGCTATCAAAATAAAGTACTGTAGGACTCTTGCCAGAATACCACGTTTCCTTGGAAATACCTTAGCTTTTTTCTCAACGAAATGCCCCAAGATAAAGTTTGACGATAACTTGAGGCGGTTTGTATTTTCCAAAGATGCATGTGAAATATTGGAGTTTTCGA